CGAGGCAGGCCCATAATGTCATGGCTTGATAATATTATTTCATGGACTGCACTTTACGTGCGGTCCCTGCTCGCTGCTGCACGCAATCGATTTTTTTGGCGCTCGTTTGTTCATACTTGCTCTGTGACGCCCCGACGGCCTTAGGGCTATGGGCTAGGCTATGGGCTTATGATGATGATGATGATGATGATGATGATGATGATGATGATGATGATGTTTTTCCTTCAAGAAAAGTTCGTGTGCACTCGGGCTTGTTTGAGACGTGGTCTTCATCCGATTACAGTATTTGTTCGTTGCGAGTGGCGGCACCCTGAGTCACGGCCTTAGACGGGAGCTCTTTGACTAAGTTGTCCATGGCCGGGGAGCCACAGACAAACGGGTTGGCTTGTGCCGGAATCCTGCGCGTGAACACCTGAAATTCAAGAAGGCATCAGTGATGTAATCAGTGATCGATGTAACCGACTCTGAGCAGTCAGAAGACGAGCAGGCAGTCTGGAGATCGGAGATGGTTCCGGAGATGAAGCAACACGGGATGCCACAAGTATGCAAGCTAGCACTCGCGGACCAAGCCAAGAAGCGTGATCGTTAACATACTACCATGGAGGTAATGACTAAGACGCATATTTTTCCATAATTCGTTGCTGACTGAAAGACCCAGGAAGGGCCTTGTGGGATAAGATGTATACATGTACAAGAAATACATACATTATTAGATAAACGTTGTTTGAACAACAATAACAACAACAACTCTTCCACTTATTATTATTATTATGCTCTATTCGCGTTAGCATCAGTGAGCTTATAAAGCTCACATATAGCCTTCGCTTAAGCCGCAAGAAGGAGCAAGTGAGCGCGAGGAAGCGCAATGCACACAGAGCGTCAAAACAAAACAAAAGAAAAAGAATAAAGAGACAAGCTGCAAGAAGGAGCAAGTGAATGCGAGGAAGCACAGTGCACATCAAGCATCACAATCGCAAAAAAGACAAGATGGAAACGCAAAGTTATGTCCATTGTTGCATTAGCGGCTACAACCTTCACCAGGTCCTGCCACTGAGGGCGATCCTGGGCGAGCTGCTGCAGCCTGTTGCAGTCATCTCCATTATCTATATATAAAGGTATAAATTATGTCCATTGTTTCATTAGCAGCTACATACAGCCTTCACCAGTTCCCGCCACTGTCGACGGTCTTGGGCAAGCTGCTGCAGCATGTTCAAGTCATCGCCAGTCGCTAGGGCGGTATTATTTTTCAGCTTTTTGAGATCATTATTGAGCGTTCGCGGGAGCGTTGTTCTTGGGCGTCCCCTAAAGCTGGGGCCGTTACCCCCTAAGAAGTAAGCTCCCATGGCACGTCTGGCTGGGGCTGCCTCTTCCAAACGCAGCACATGACCAAACAGCCTCCATCTAGCATCTCTGATGATTTGGCTCACGGGGCGAGATTCTGTGCGTTTATACAGGGAAGTGTTCTTTATTATGACCGGGTATTTAATGCCTATCACTGTTCGCAGCTGCTGCCTGTGGAACGAGTCCAGTTTCCGCTCCTGTGTCCCCGTGAGACTCCATTATTATCTCTTATTGGCCACTGGCTATCGTTAGAATAAAGATTTGAAACAACAACAACAACCTGTACTTGAACATGTATTCCACAGTCACCAACTGGGAGCATTGTGTTTCTCCTAGGCGAAACCAGACATTAATCTTCACGGATGGTCACGTGCACAAACTATAATTGTGGGAAGTGATATGTGATACATGTACATATACATGCATGCGGCAGTAAAGAAACTGAACATCTGTAATAGCAAAGCAGTCGATCATCGTCTGGGATTGAAGTGCTCTTTCTTGCCGAAACGCTTCTTCTTGTTTCTTGGACGAATTTTCCGTTTGGAACACTTTGCCGCTATACGTGATACGACATCGTATATTGGTACAGATATGTAGCATAGATCTGCTATTGAGATGTGTCGTCTGGTCGCCACACGATGTACTTGAAGGGTGAAGATGAACCTTCGGAACCGCACATCTGCAAAGCCTGTCGGCAAAGGGTTGGGGTCGCAGTCAAGCACGAGTAGGATATAGTGAGGATGTTTTGTTACGACAAGCCATACAAGCATAGGGGCGCATGACGACTTCATTTCATTCTGGATTTCCTGTAACCTCTCCGCTATGTCCAATGATGTCCTTGCAACGCAGTCGAGCCAAGTTGGTTTGTCACTTTTGGTGCGTGCTGCTGCATCCTGGCGATACGCAGACTTCACATGTAGCTTGGCATCGTCAGTAAACAGAGGATGTCCCCAGAACAGCTTCTCTGGACTTGGTCGGTCACAGAAAACACATACCCTACCGGTGGAACATAAATCGTTCCAGCAAAGAGAAGGTTTCCGATGGAGGCGCCAGATCTTTACACAGAAATTCGAGAATTCATCGTCACTCAGACTATGGTCCGCAGCTGAAGCATCCATGATATTCGAAGAAACAGAAGAACGGTTTGTTAAAGCAACCAACTATACTCGTTCGTCGATTAGAATGCGATGTATAAAGAGTGGAAGGACCAAATGTTACGATTTATATCCTACCTACCCTCCCCCACAGTAACTAGACACTACGTCATCACAATACAGTCAACAAGTGTGACAATAAGGCACAAAGCTGACAAAGAGTACTGAGACAAAGAGTACTGACAAAGAGTACTGACAAAGAGTACTGACTGAGACATTTAGCAACCTGACACCTACAGGTAGCGCCAACATATCTACCAGGCGTAAAAAAATCTTCAAACTTGCAAGGCTCAGGTTTGGTGGACAATATGTCCCAACTAGTAGCATTTAGTCCTTCCTCTCTTTGTCCATCATGAATACATTGGTTCAATATCCGATTTCAAGATTGCGATGTGTTTGAAAGGTTTGATAAAGAACATTGAAGGTGGTATGATAGGAACTTTCGTCAGCGCTACAATAATACTGGACCTTTGTGAGCAAGGCGAAGGCTGTGTCTAACCGATGTCTCGAAGATATCAGTTTTTCTAGCATGTTGCAAATTTTCACGGCAAAACTGAGAAGATAATAGAGTGTACATCAAGCTGCAGTAGAACGTTGAATGTGATTGATTGGTGGGGAATATGTCTCGCGGGGTGGCATATCCCCAGAAAAATGTTCTTAGCGGTGTTTGGAAGATTTAGGTGACTACTAACACATCAGTGATGAAGTTTTCTCCTCCTACGTGGAGCTCGCGCTGGAAATGGAGCGTTTCTATGTAGGTTTGCGGGGGGTGTTGATTTAACCTGAAGATCACTGTATGGACGGTGCTCTTCAGGCACAATCTCTCTCACAGCCTACTCAAGCTTGACAATGAGGGGTAAATTGCCCGAAACACTGTGCATTGAGCAGGCAGCTCGGTGTCACGCAGCTTTGTCAAGCGAGGGATGCGAATGGATTCTTGTGTGCTTAGGATAGCAGTGGCTGATATGAGTCGGTCATGACTGTGTCAAGTTCGGCAGGACTGAGAGGGAAATGGACCTTTCTCTGCAGAACCACGAACATCCTCGAGCACCTGCTGGAGCCACTTGAAGGTGCCGTTAGAACTAAACTGAGTGCAGCCTTACCCTGCAGTTCACCTCCTGGTGGTAGGCTTTCCCCAAAACGACCGGCCAAAACAATCACCGAAAACGAGAGATCGTTCAGAACAACCGCATTGTACTTCGAAGTTAATGAAAGGGGGTTTGTCAACTGAAAACCGCTCTATTTAGTTGCTATTCACTCTTTAGATGAAAATACTTCTATTGATGATGTCGAAAAAATTATTGACGTTTCGGGCCAGTCACCCATCGTCAGAACAGAGAGAGAAAACGTGACTTACAGAAAAATCGCTAAGATTTTCGATTTTGGAGGATTCCTTTGAGAGTCGCCGAAAAATCTACCAAAATAATGTTGCAAAGTGCGTTTACGAACGAATGATGTTGCTGCAAGCATGACCACTCGAGCTCTCTATCGCAGTACTTGTAGTACTAGTGCGTTGAGGTCATGTGACTCGTGTCCTTTGACCTCCTCTCAAACAAACATTAGCCATTAGGAAGATCGTTACCAGTAAAATACTCTACTACAACGATATAAGTATTTGATATTTACTCCATCTAGCAGAGCTGTATTTCCAATATCTCAACAATTTTCAAGCCAATATGCCGACAATTCTTTTAGCCGATTTCCTAATTATTCCAATTTTGCAGCCTATTTTCGGACAACCAGCTGATTTTGCAGCCGAATCTGATGAACTAGTATTGTGAGCCGAGCGAAAAAAAGCCGAATAGGCGAAAAACGGGCCGATTTAGAGAAAGGCCTAAATGGTGGAGACCTCCGGCGCGTGTTTGCTCTTCCGTGCCGTTAGGGCGGCTTGGGTATTATGAGTCCGATATGTCCTTGTGTGGGCAATACAACTCGTAAGTCCGCCTTACCGTGCACATCACCAGCAAAATTCTGTCTTGTGTAGTGGTGACACTGCACTTGACGATTGTGTAACTAAGATATCCAAGGTGAAGGCCGTGGTCAAGGCAGATTCCCGTCAAGCGCAGGCAGCGGCAATGGAGGACGTGGTCCAGAATGCATCTGCGAGTCTACGTAACTTCATTGATATTGCCAGAGAAAAGGGTTCTTCTACCTGGCTGACATGCCGAGAGGTGAGTGTTTCTCATTCGCTCTCCTACCCTTAAGGAGGGTTACCAAGCAACCATACTGCACAATGCCATCCGTGGCACTACTCCACAGCTCCTAGCCCAAGTATGTAGCAATGTATCCACTGAGCCTACGCTGCAGCCACTGACCAGTGCAATACCGAACTGCCAACGTGAAGGATCATGCACGGCTTCATGTCGCTGCCAGTGGTTTGGGGGGCAGTCGATTTGAGCGAACCCTTATTATATTGATGTCGGGTTAATTTGACTCAGCACCCCGAAGACTGCAACTGGTGAAAATTTGATTTCAGGCTTCACATCCATTATTGAAAGTCACTAGTACGATTTCAAGCCTTATTGTCAGGTGAAAATACAGGCAAAATCAAATGAACAAGGACAATGGATTTAGTACAGCACAGAGGTAAAATATGCAGTACAAGGAAGATGTGTAGTCGTTGAAATACCCGGCAGTGGTTGTAAAAGAAGTAAGTTTGCAGAAGGAGCTGTGGAAGAGAAACAGAAAGTGGACCGCTGCCAAATGGGGAATTCCGCGAATCCACACGGAACAGTTGACAGCAGCATAGGACAGGTAATAATGGTAGAACAAGTTCAGAATAATAAGTGTTAAAGTACTGACCGTAAACCCATGAAAAAAGCGAGAAAATAATAGTTGCTGCTCGTAGTTAAATAACAGGGCAGCTAGTTCCAGTTCAGAGCAAAAGTACTTTGTAAAATACTCCATGTGTGCTTCGCGGCAGCGTGCAATCTTGAGTTGTGTTATGGTAGGGTGGAATTATGGAAATCGAGCAGCAAGAACAGCGGTGTGCAGCAAGCATGTACATGTACAGTATGATGCTCTGAAGGGCTCTGAGCCATCATGCAGCACGGCCTAGTGCTCGTACAAGGGAGAGATTGAGGAGGTGTAAGACCAGGACAAGGCAAGAAAAGCATTGTATTTATCTTGGACTTGTGCTGTGAAAACTTACCGTACCTCTTGACAATGACGTATGGTACAGTTGGTACACAAGTATAGTAGTATGCTGAATGGTTGTCAAGAAACTTGGCAGTACGTTCGGCTGGCTATACGCCAGCCCACATGTGCGATCGGTAAAGTGGAAAACAAACTCGTAATCCGGCCATGGGCAAACCGGGATCTGTGCAAATGGGTATGACCAGTGGGTATATCCTCTGCCTACTAAAGGCTGGACTCTACTAATGCTGTGAAAGACTTCGAATCAGGCAGAAAGCTTGGAGAACAAACGAGAATAGAATCAAGCCTGGAGCTCTTCACAAGCAGTGCGAGAACTCTCAGGAAAATCTCAAAACAACAAGTAAGGCATTATCCATTGTGACGTTATACGAGTCTAGAATGATCCGTCGATAAGGCGGTTCACTTCGGCCATCATCTTGTCGACTTGCGCGCTCAGCTGCTGCTCCAAGGCCTGGTGTCGTGCTGCCATGCCCCGTTCCAGTTGCTGAGTCAAGTCTACCTGCAGACGGTTACAGTTCTCCTTGACGGCCTTGCACAGAGTATCAGTGATGTTCTGCTGGCTGACCTGGAGTGCTTCTCTCAGCTCACGATTGTGTTCGCTCTCTTGTTCGCGTACCATCGTCACTGCGGCTGTGGCATCGCCAATGACTGAGAGCTCCGATGTCTTGATGGCTGTGTCGATGCTCTCTCGCAGGTTGGTTTGAATGTACTGCTCCAGTGCCTGAAGTTGACCGCTGGTTTCGTTCAGCTTGGCACTGAGCGCTGCAATGGTTTCGGTGTGCGCGGCTGCTGTTACTGATTGTATGGTGTCGGGTAGCGTAACACCGACCGTCTGCTTCAGATGGTCCAGCTCTGTTGAGGTTGTCTGGAACGAAGTCGTCATCAGCGTTTGCGTGTCTCGGTTCTGGTCGTCAACCGACTTCTTCAGCGTGTCCGTGTGTTCGCGTGCCGCCTGTGACAGATCGTTGAAGATTGTGTTCTGCTGTTTACGTGTTTCCATCACGTCGTCCCGAAGAACGGCCTCTGTTTTCATGACGATGTTGTTTACGGTTTCTGGTACCTGCACGGTACCGAGATGGGCAATGTTGTGGTCTAGCTTGGGCGGCACCTTCCTATTCTCGTGTAGCAGCTCAAGGGTGGCTCGCATCTGTGCCCTGAAGAAAGGATGAAGTGAATAGAAGGAAGAACAAATGAAGGGTATTAGCAACACGTAGAGCCATGGATGCCGGCAACTTCTCTAACAACTTACCTCCCACAGGCGTGTAGCCCTCACAGGGCATGGGGGGAGGGGGGGTGGAGGGGGGGGGGGGGGGGGGGTGGCACGTGCCCCCTTCCCTTTGCCCCTAAAATTTCCGACCTACTTTTGTAGGTTCAGCATGCACATAATGACCATGAATGACATGCACCAGCCATCCTACGCAAAGGCTGCCGTGCAACTTTTGCGACATGCGACACGCGGCATACACAAATGGAGTACAGTTTCTACCCTGGGTGGACTGGAGTGCAGTTTCGACCCTGGGTGGACTGGAGTGCAGTTTCGACCCTGGGTGGACTGGAGTGCAGTTTCGACCCTGGGTGGACTGGAGTGCAGTTTCGACCCTGGGTGGACTGGAGTGCAGTTTCGACCCTGGGTGGACTGGAGTAGAATTTCGACCCTGGGTGGACGTGCAGTGCACGTGCACAGTACTTCTTCTGCATGAGGATATTTGGATGTTGCAACAAACATGAAGAATATTGTGAACCGCGTGTCGCTGTCGCAGCTCGTCGCATGTGGCGCAAGTCGCATGTCGCGTCGCAAGAAGTTGTATTGTGAATCGGCCTTAAAAGACAGGCTACCGGCCAGTGTAAACAGTCGTAATATACATTCAAAGATATTTGACACACAGCATCATTGATGATCACGTTCCTCTAAAAGCAGAACAACACCGCTACACACGACGTCTTTGTCTTACTTTAAGGCCATTATCTGTTGACTCTGCTTCTCGATATCCGCTTCCATCTGCAGTTTTCGGCGCTTCTCCTCTTCGTCTTCGTCGACATCCTTCGGTTCTTCCCAGCCGATCAACCGATCTGTGGCACATCATGCAGCAGAACCCAACATGTAAGTACTTGCATATCTGTTACTCATAATATGATACAGAGATTTACTGTACTATGCAATGAATATGAGGTCATGTGGTGATGTCAAGGAGGGCACTATAAGGGCACTATGAGGTGATGTGGTGATGTCAAGGAGGGCACTAACGTTATAAGGGCACTATGAGGTGATGTGGTGATGTCAAGAAGGACACTATGAGGCCATGTGGTGAGGACAAGACAATATGCATTTCTACCCTCATTAGTTCGACATCGGTTATTTCAAGACAAACCGCATCAATAGACAACGATCGAAATTCCACAACGATCCAAATTCCACGTATGCCTGAGCGGCGTACATACAAGCCGGGATAATAGGTCATACTCATTATAAGACGACATTTTTGAAACCCGCTGGGTTTGTCTACTATCGAGGGTAGACCTGTACACGTTTAGGAACATAACTGTGCGCTTGTACTCACGTCCAGGGTGGACAACATCTTCGTAGTCATCATAGTTCTTGAAACGGTATCTCTACAAGGAAGACGAGGAACACAGAGAAAGAGGGATAAAGCATGTTGATCTCTATAGATGATATCCATGCTGTTGATGGTGTCCGCCCACAGAAGAATAAACAGAAAAATGATGTTACTCATTGAGTACGCCCAGCGTGATCCTCAGAGGTTGTCCATAAGGCAGTGGTTGTTTTGGATCATAGCTGAGTGATGTTTTGGTGCTTGTGAAGGACTAATTCCAGGTGCTCCTTCACATTCTTGTCTTTGTTTTTTTTTTGATTTCCTGCAGCTTTGAAGTTTTCTTTCAGTTGGATTTGGTGGTGCTGTGATAAGCACACTTGATGAAGCAGTTTTGACAGGTCTGGCAATAACATGTTCTTTCACCCTTTGTGTGTGATACGGTGGGAACACATGACTTCCTCAGCGGTAAACACGCCCTAGTGGCCAAAGAGTTAGTACCTTCAATGGTGACGTTCCCTGTTCCAGAATCCTGAGCGATGCCGCCCAGTTTTGCTCAAGTTCACGCTGTGCGTCGGCTTTGACATCAGCATACGTATCGCTAAGCTGAGCGATCAAGATGTTCAACAGCACTACCAGCACGAAGAACAGGAACAGCATGTTGATGACTATACCCAACCAGCTGCACATACACAGGGAAAAAAGCAAGAACAAAGCACTTAAGATAGAGCTAGTGGCGCCAGGTACACAGTGAAACAATCAATAAATAGCGTTAAGAGTAGATAAACAAGAGTATGCAACTCTGCATCTCTCCTGCACAATCTTCAGATACCCCCGCCCACGGCGGAAATTATTGCTGACGTCATATTTTTACAGAGCACGCACATTTGCCACAGAGCAGTGTGAGAGCACATGCTGGGCATCGACCTTGTAATGTAAATCCCGGCAAAGTGCACGAGGTAAAACTTCCCAAAAGACTCGCAGCATGAGCGTCGTAGAAAAGACTACATCGACAATAATTTCCGCCATGGCCCAACCCATACGGGAAATTCACACTCTCGTTTATCTACTCTTGATAGCGTTATATCAAACAACAGTGGAGACCACGACTAAAGACAGAAAGATCTACAATTCAGTGTATTGTGTGCGTGTCCAGGGTTTGGTGGCTGTACAGCTGATAGGCAGTGCTTGCACGTTTGGGTGCTTTGGGAAAACCTGGACATGAATACAACACACTGAACCCAGAAACACTGACACGCCACGATCTATACTAGATCCACATTGGAATGGAATGGCAATGATGATTCTAACGTCGTGGACTTTTGAGCCCGTTGAAATGACCAGGGCCAGCACTGCCGTAGCCCGCACATACACACTGTAGTTCATGCAGACACTGTGACAAACGGACCAGCAGTGCTCACGGCTTCAAGGCCAACAGCAACGAGATTCTTACCTGAATGATTCACTCGGCTCGTCGTCATTGATGTAGTCCACATTGGTTTCCTGCTGAATCATGGTCCGCAGTCCACTCAAAAGAATGAAACCGTAATTCCTGTCAGCAACGTTCAAGGACAGGGAAATGTTTGAGTTGCGGTTTGGCTTACAGGTCATGTAAACATATTCTTCAACCAAGTACTATTGATACAAAGCACAAAATAATTTCTTCAAAGAATAGTGAGAGTACATTAGAAACTTGATACACTTGAGAACTAGAGGACAGATATGAAAATGGTCCGCTTACATCAGAGTTTCTATCAAAGCAAATCACCGAAAACAAAACTTGTGAAATTCAGCACCAACCCCCCCCCCCCCCCCCCCATACACACCCATACCACCCATCCCCCATGCCCCCAGATGCCCCCCCCCCCCCCCCCCACTCACACCCATACACATTTACACATTCACAGACATTCACTTACGATGTGAAGTGTCCGAGACTCAGCTCGGTGGTTTCCTTCGGGTCCGACGTGGAGTTCCTCTCCACGATGGGTTCAGCACGCAATGCCAGGAACAAGGAACCAGAGTATGTCAGGAGGAAGATCCCGAATATGATCACAAAACGTGATATGTCCTTGTAGAGAATACGTGTCAGTATCTGTAGGTATATACCAACCATTCTGCAAGACAAACCCACAGGACATCAATATTGTCAACTCTCAGTTTAAACACACCTAGTCCATAGCCAGACAATACAATTCCACTGACAAGATTAGGATGCACAATACTCTCAGCTTCATAAATTCTATAAGAAAACGCCATTGACATCAAAGGAATTCCACACAATCTATTCACTGCCGTCCATGCGCTAATATGGCTGTCTCCTCTTCACAAGGCACCTTTTGCCATATTCGGCAAGCACGACCAGGTCTGGTAAATTTGTGAGTATGACGGACCAAAGTTGAAACATTGTTTTACGCTGACCAGGTGTAGCAGTAATCATACGTACACATGCAGTGGATCCCCCCCCCCCCCCCCGCGCCACCACCACCACCAGAACATGCGTGAGACCCAGTTCTAGTGAGTGTTCAGCATCAATGGTAACACCACCACTCTCAGTTACAGTGGGTCTGGTCTACTCTCCAGCTGTACTGTAACACACAGTGAAATGGTTGGTGGATCTGATCTATCCTCCCGCACCGCTTAGGAGCCACATCTGACGCCTGATCATGGGGTGCGGGTGTCCCACGGAAGCGGAAAGGCGGTTCTTCACCAGCCCTGTGCGCAATCCCATGCATTTTTGGTGGTCAACTCTCCCCCCCCCCCCCCCATTTTGGACCTGCATCTGTGCTTTCACCCCAAAGCGTCGCAGTGCTCCTACCGAGCACACAATCTTATGGTGGAATAACAACTCTCACCTTGTGACGGATATCAGCATGAGAATACGCAGGCACAGGAAGATGTATGCGAAGCATGCCACATGCCATTGTGCATCTTGATTAGTCCAACGCAGTGGAATGATGGCAACCAAGAGTAGCATAGAGGTGACCTGAAGGTAGTTGTAGCCATCTGTCAAGTAAGCCAACTTCTCTCTGTCAGGACAGAATACATACACACAGACATACAGAGAGACAGAGAGATTTTAGCTTGATTATCCGGAAAGCTGACATTCCAGAGAAAGTCCAGGATTCATTTAAAACACACAATTCCAAATAGCCGCACAATCCACAATACCGGAGCAAGACTCGACTGATACTGATATACTCTAATTTCAGAAACTTTCAGTGCTCAATTTTTTCGGTATGAGGGCAAAGGGCCAGGTTAGGTGAACAGAAATTTTAGGCACAGAGAAGCAGTTCCCTATTGGATTACGTGTGTTAGTGTTTGTTCGGTGTATTGAAATTTTAGGTACGAAACAGATGCACCTAAAGTACCGAAAATAAAAGTACACCGAAAATTTGTGAAATTACAGTAGTTGACGCTTCCAAAAAAATGAATGCCTTCTTTAGAGAAATGTAAAGGAGACAGAGAGAGAAAGAATGTGTGCGAGAGAGAAAGTGATTTGCTGCATGTATACGACATGCTTTGCGATGTGTTGTCAAGCACACCGCATCACAACTCAGCGCTTTCCAACCGTCGTTGACACAACGCATGCTGTTGCTTACCCCCTATTTCCTTTGGTATAAAAGTTCATAAAACAGAGCAAGACAGTAGCTGCCATACACACATACACATACTTCACAGTAGATAGAAGACGTGCAGCTTCAGGCTGTTATGTCTGGTCCCCGTGCAGACTCACACACATGTACATACTCGGGTTGCATCCTCACATGCACTCTCAAACAATCACACACTCATCAGTACAGCTAGGTTCTTGGTTAGGTAAAACAACGACGGCGGCAGCGGCGGCGGCGGCGACGACGACGACAACAACAACAACAACAAAAACACCTAATCCGAGCATGCACAATACATACTATGAAACTGTGTAGTAGAAATATAACAACTTTTTTCTTTCTTTTTTTACTCAGTCCACTATGCTCCCGAGTGAATGCGAAAAGTGATGGCGGGGCCCTGCTGCTCAACCGACTTTGGTAGTCTCGGCGTCTGCACAGAAAAAGTGCGCCAAGAAAAATAGTGAAGGACATGAGAGAGAGAGAGTGAAACACTTGCATCCGCAGCACAGCCTACCTGTGTAACTCCTTGATCTCATCGTAAAGATTGAACATGACCCCGATCAGACTGATCACTTCCAGCACACCTCTGGCATAGTCCTCAGCACTGTCGTAGATACGCGGATCAGCTTGCCGGCCAGCAGAGATCAGTGAAAACGTCACGCACAGCATGAACAACAAGTAGAGCGACAGGTTCAGGCTGCAAAACAGGAAGTGACACAGGCACTAGAATATAGCGATGAACAATATCGAATTTATAAGAAGAAAAGAAGCCCGAAGAGCTACAAATTATACTACAATGTCCCCTAACACTACCAGTTACTTTACACTGAGCTCATGCGTGGACGCTCATGAGTATTCGACATAAATTTGTCGTACAAATGAAACAGTCAACGAACGCTGTTCTATTTTCGAAAGCGTGTTGGTTTAGGATACCCAGTGGAATGAGCGCAGTCCGAAGCACGATTCTCGAATCCAACCATGGCGCATCAGTGTCCTAGTGTTGGCACAATATCACTACAGAGATCAGTTACCTGTATACAATCACCCCCTCTTATCCAGCACTCTATAAGCCAGCACTATCTTAGTAGCCAACAGGTCCTCTTCATGCATACTGCAGCAGTAAATCAGATTTATTAATTCAGCACCCTCCCTGATCCAGCAGAATCTCCTCAGCACAAATGGTGCAGGATTATAAAGGGAACTGTGTAAAATGGGGAAGACTCACATGGCCATTCTCTCTCCATACTCCACCCACTTGTTGTAGATCAACATGCGCACTACATTGTGTCGCTGCATCTCCTGAAAGGGGACAATGGCAGCAAGGCCATGGAAAACAGTGAAAAAAATTAAAATTAATACCTAGCCCTAGTCTTTATGTGCTGTTCAAATGTATCTGGATGTATAATAGAGTGGTTTCACAGCTATCACATGACCATACAGGACAGTCATGTTGGTTACAACTCCACTCAGCCCTTCAGGTATGGGTCACATGATGTCAGCCATGTTGATTCCACTGTCCACATGATATGATCATTTTCTTCAGGAATTTGGTCACATGACAAATAATTATAATGAAACCACTCTATCATGACATGCCATCTCACACTCAGCTCAGAACCCACACCAGAAGATAAGGATTTCATTACAGCCCCAGTCGCATTGAGCCACAACAGTCCTAAAACAATTTAAATAAGCACTACCATTTGATTGCCAGTACAGAGGACACTGAACATGACTTGGTCATAACTCGGAACATTTGGTTCTTCCTCTATATCTCCCTTTATATCTCCCTGATTACTCAATATAGAAAGGAAAGGAACGTATGGATATAAGTTAGGAGTTAAGAGTAACTGTCCACCACTGCAACTAGATGTCCCTTTTCTTTCCTTTTTTTTGTCCCTTTCCTTTCCACATTTGTTATTGGCGCAACATAAATTGATTGCAGTTATCAACATCCGAGTATTAAAATACTCAATATTTTCTTACTTTGTCTCGGCACTCCAGAACTCGGTGAAAGGCGGTTTTGCCGTTCACGTTAAACCCTGCGTCGTTGGGAGAGTAACCGTTCGCATCGCTCTCCAGAATACGATAATGGAAACGGTACTCGTCTGGCTCGTCAGTCGGCTGGACGCAGGCATCCAGAATAGCCCGGCACGTCAGCTGACAAACAAGTACAGACAGGAAAGAAAAATAAACAGAGTAAGCGGCAGCATTTAACCGTTGAATTTCAAGAGTCAGTATAAGATAGAATGCACTCGGATGGAGAACCAAGGATAAATTTATAGGAAAGAAAAAAGGACAAAGGAACTATGTCCACTAACACCACCAGTTACTAAACAACCAGTTCATGCAATAACATTGCAACCCCAGATCCCAACGCCCCTTTATCCGGGGGGATCTGTCTACCGGGTACCTTTCTGATACATCTACAGTCACAAAAGTGGCTTGTCAACGGCCAGTAAAGCTACGGTTATTTGTGACTTTTCCCTTACCGGCATATCCCCTGATGACACAAGGTTTTGAAAACGGAAGGAGTTGCCGTCTTTCTGTGCATCAAACAGCTCTCGGACCCTGACAAGATTATATCCACAAGAAATCAGAGCAAAAAACATTTATTATTATTATTATTATTATTATTATTATTATACGCATTTCCGCGGCAACGTCAACCAAGCAGTTATGCTTGATCCACACATTCGCTTATGCTGGACATTGAAACAGAGCAGATGTAGATATCTCCTAGAGAATGGGGCTCTACAAACCAATGATCAAAGTTAACATAGAGTAACATGGAGCGTCATAAAATTTGTGCCATTGGGGAAAACGTCATCATTATTTTCTCACATTTTTTACACATAATTATACTAATCACATTTCTGCATAAACCATATAAAACAGAATCTGAAAAAAAATAGCGTCACTGTCCCTGAAGCCTTTGACTTAGCCAAAAACAAGACATGAATGGAACCTTTCACTCACAGATGCATAGCAAAATTCTGAGTGATATGCCAGCTGTTCTTATTAGTGTCATCATCTGCATGAAATTGTGAACATCCTAAGCGACAGTGCGTAGACACAAACAAAGTCAAATCGGCGACAAAGATAGCCAAGCTCGTTACTAACGAAATGGTGGTAGCGACTTTGGCGATGATTTGTTAGAAAAGGGTTTGCTCCCCACACTGAAGCTCACTGGAGTCAAGTGTCAAGCTAAGTCAGCAGGAAAGCTTGAGCTCCAGTGTGGGGAGCAAAGCCTTTCCTGTCGAAGATACATAGATTTCGAGATGCATGAGACAATGTGCTTAGAAAGATGTTGACATCACACAAAGGAAGGCTGATCTACTCACCTCCCACCCCTTTAGGAGCTGCATGTGCGCCTTAGATCTTAGCAGGGTGGTGGTGTTCCTACTGATGCTGAAAACTGAGTCTAACTGACTGTCAAGCAAACCGTGAATCTTTTTTAAAGGAACACATACACATACACATAGGTAAATCTCTGAAGACCTATGTACAGTGCTGGCAGCTGAAATCCGACCCCTGAAATCCGATCCCTGAAATCCGATCCCTGAAGTCCGACCCCTGAGCGGTGCGCTCACATCGCAAACACCCAACACATGATAGTAAAACTACGCAATAGACACCGCTAGAATGTGAACGCATCGTCAGGTGGTCGGATTTCAGGTGGTCGGATTTCAGTTGCCTGCACTGTGCTGCACAGGTACAGTATAGTGTTTGACTGACCTTTTCTTGTTCATTCGGCGCAAGATAACAGACGCCATTTCATCATGGCCAGCTTGAAGTGCAATTATCACAGGTAGCTCTCCTTTCTCACTGGCCGCATCGATCGCCGCCTCGTTATCCATCAACGTTCGCGCTACGTAGACGTAATTCTTCTCCGCAGCGATGTGCAGATACGGATCGTCGCGACAACCGAGATCAATGCCGCGGGCGATCAGCCCGTCCAATAGCTGCCGCGCCTGCCCAAGACCAACCAACACAGAAAGACGGGACCAGAGGGAATTCAAACATTGACAGACAGGAATTCAGACACATGGCAGTCACGAATTCAAACTTATTGACAAAATGAGAGAGGGAACTCAGGTTCAATGACAGATGTAATTCATAATCAATGACGGATGGAACTCAGACTCAATGACGGATGGAACTCAGATTCAATGATGGATGGAACTCAGGCCCATCGTTCACATAGCCAGCACACATCACGCACGCCGCATTCAAGTCGCTTCTGAGGCAACATACGAAAGAAATTAGAAGAAAAGATGACACAATCCTAATCTATGCATTCAGAAAGAAAATGTCACAAAACTGAGACTCTTCACCTAGCATTCGCACACGTATTCATTCGCATACACCTACACCTCACAGTTCCTCACTCTATCACATTCACCTGCTTCCACGCCTTCATTTCACTCACCTTATGTAGTAGCTCACACCGTCAGAACACTCTCACATCTTTTCTTCTAATTTCTTTCGTCTTCTCTCCCACTTTAGTTTTTTTTTCACACCTCACCTTGTATACTTCCCACTATCCGATAACCTATAAGTAGTTTGTTTCTCCGTATAGCCTCTATTGTGAGACGATTTTCCCTGATGATAGTCTCAAGAAAATCGATTAGGAACAACCATTTTAGATACATGTATTCTCATTCATCATTTTGTAATGTCCGCTTCACTAATACTATTAATCGCATTAATAAAATTAAAAAAATAGAATAAAATAAAAAAAGTGTCAGATCGCGTACAATATGCATTGACACAATACGAAAATAAAATAAAGATTTCTCGGTTTGCGTTAGACTCGGCTAAAGGCCGAGTTACCAGCATCCGTACGAACGCCACCACCCTTCAAGGATCAAGGCAATAGTACAGTACTAATGGCATTTATTGTGCAACACTTCTTGAACATCCTACCTCTCCTTGAGAGTTAGACTTGTCCAGAATAGCTGTGACTGCAGCCTCTGCCGACCCACTCTGCTCGATGATGCGATCAAGTCTGGCTTCGCGCATGGCAAGTTTCTTGATCAAACCTTCCAATGTTTTCTTCTCCTCCACCTGTGCACGTGATAAAGGACATCAACACCAGGGAGAACACAACACATGGATGGTCAGTATCAAGAGAGCCGACAGTCAACCATTGAAAAGCCTTACAAGTAACTTATTTTCAATGTTTGTAAAACTCATCACATGGATGATCAGAGTCAAGACAGGTGACAACCAACCATGGAATACCCGAATGTGTTTCCAAATATTTGTAAGACACAGTCATTACGATTGTATGCCCCACTGAAGGTCAGTGGATTAGAAAAAATCAAATTTGTTTTGCAGTGAACTCAATAATTGTGTTGATCATCAAGCGCTTTCTGCATGTAGGGTTGTGTGTATGTGTGTGTGGGGGGGGGGGGGGACGTGAGACAATCCTACCACACCAAAACAAACTTCCCGATCCAGTTTAATGCAGGTTTGTATGAATTCCTGCATGATTCTCAGCAGTACTTCTTCACAGTGGGGTGGTGACCCAGTACACTGTAGCTGGAAATGACGCAATAGTTCTGAATGACTGAACTGGACTGCATACCAGCAATAGTTCTGAATGACTGAACTGGACTGCATATCAGCAATAAGCAGGTTTAATACTCCTGCTAAACCAACAAATCATTGCAGCATGCAAAAAGAGACAGGGTGAAGAGTGCATCCAAAGTAGTACAAATATTTCAAAGTAATTTTACATGAAATTTCTACTACTAGCTGACATAGGCATGGGCAGATTATGCCTGCAGAAAAATTGGCAGAATTCTGTACTTTTTCTGGTGGTTTTTATGCATATTTGGTATGTGGATAAAGAAAAACTTTGTTCGCAGCTTAGCACTCCAGAGAATGTCTGTACTCTACCCATGCAATGGCCTTGCTGTCCGTGAACCAGATGCATGTTTAGGATCTCAACACTTGGGGGGGGGGGGGGGGGGGCATTTGATAATAATATTAGACAATGGACACCTGAAGATGTCAATCAACTCAAGTACTGGCACAGGAGCACAACTGTCCTAATCTATGCCTATGGGTGGCAGGCAGAACTGAGTGATTTCCATGGTCTCAAGTACATGGATGGTAGAGCTGGGCTACTGCATGGGTCTCAAGTGTATGCATGGCAGAGCATAGCAAAATCAATGGTCTCAAGTCTATGGGTGCTAGAGCTGGGCAATTATTTCCTTAGTCTCAAGTGCATGGTTGTCTGAGCACGAGTCTTTCAAAAGTGTATGCACAGCAGAGTTGCGGTACTTCAAGGTTCTCAAGTATATGTGTGGTAGAGCTGTGGTATGGCCATGCTGCAAATATCAAGTACCCATGCACAGCACAGCAAGGGGTGTCAACAGATCACTGGTTAGGGTGAGTGGATGAGTGTGTAGTTTTGAAGATGGGAAGAAACCCCAGGGTGCTAAGTGATGGCAGAGTCCAGTTCTGACACAGAGCCCTTGAGTACCTTGCACACCTGCAGCACATAAGGGTCCTATCACAATAATCCATAAAAATAGCAGCACTATGACACGATTGTGTACATTCACTACAGAGGCTGCATTCTGATAGAGTTCCAAAACCTCATTAGAACCTTCACAGACTAAGACACCAAAGGCAGAAGCCACTTGCATTGCTTTGTTTTCCTCCAAAAACAAAAATCTATTCAAACTTGCACAGGCTATATACAAGACAGGTGAAGTTCTCCATTGTATACACTCATCCCAGTCATCACTTCTAGCCCCCCCCAGGGCCTGCCACCCAAAATGTGGACTAGCTACAGGGGCGTGCCCAGCTCCCCTTCCAGGGGGGTGCACCACTTCCAGACAACAGCAATTTTCAAAAGGTTTCTCTCAAAAGGCTTCACTCGTAACCTGATCGCACGTATGTATGACTGAGTCACCGGCCTCCGCCTTCCCTTCCGTTCTCTTTCCTTTCAAGCGCTGACGTTCGTGTGCCACTGTGGTCGCATCCTTTCGTGATGTCGTGCAATCTGATATGACACTGGACAGGCTGTACGTTAGGCATTGGCGGATAATGCTCGAAAAGGTGGCAGATTCTGCTCGAAAAGCAGTGAAATTGGCAGAACCATACAAACCTTATGGCGGGCAATTCCTCGAATTCTGCTCCATTTCTTTATCCACATACCAAACATGCATGAAACTTACCAGAAAAAGTACCGAATTCTGCCAAGTTTTCTGCCGGCATTATCCGCAAAGGCCAACTGTACGTACGGGACTGCCTGGCTGCATGTAGGCCGCCGCGCACCAGCAGTACCAGGCCCCTATACTACACTAGTACACAAGACAGGTGCAGGATGTGCTCCCGCGAGGTCGGGCTTTCCGCAATACATTGGTGACTTTTCAAAACCTCGGTCGAAATATTTTTGGGGGGTGCACTTGGCCACTTGCCCCCTGTGCCCCTCGCCAAGCACGTCCCTGCTGAGCTACATGTACATGTATATGGAATGGGGTTTATTTTTTAGAGGTACATGTACATGTACATGTACATGTACGTTACTTGAAAAAGCACTTTGGAACTGGAAGTTTTAATGGACTGCGCTGACTCATGTTTGTATGATCCGTGGCGTAATGGAGTTGTGTCATCAGAATACCAGCTGGTCTACGCAAACTAATAAAACTTCAAGGTAGAGGGGTGGTGCATCTGAAAAGCACCACGATCTGTGTTTGTACCCGAGTACGCGTTCAGACTACCGGTAAAAAGTGACCGATTGGGAACGTTTCCAAGGTGATTTAATCACGTGACGTTACTGGCACGCTACCGGCGGAAAAGTTTTACTACTGCGGGGGCTGCGGCAGTAAAACATTTCCGGCAGTAGAAAGAGTGCGCAGGCTGGGAGAAGGAGAAATCCCTTCCCAGTGCCACGGTGAGAGCTGCGAAACGTACGTACCGGTAAGGTTTGTTTATCGGTAGTGCGAATGTCCTTCACGGTGTATTGCCATTCACGGTTTGACGGGATTCATGGTAGTCTGAATGCGCCCTTACCTAACCGTAAGAAACAGCACATTGGCTAGCAATTGGAAGTGGCAATTATCGTCAATGACCAACCTCACGACAATGGCAAAAAGGACAATTCAAATAGATGAGTTTCGTTTGAGGATGCCGCAGCGTATTTCAATTTAGGTTCCAAAATGTGCCCGAATGGCCTAGACATCCAAGTTTGTAAGTGTGTGTGGCTTGCTGGATGGAAGCAATGACATTACCAACACTGCGACAGTAAAGCGAGTGATGCGGCATGGTTTTCATTGTACACATCAGATAAATAACAACCCTCACCTACCTTCAGACAAGCACAAAGCAACTCAGCTCGCTCAGCATAGATCAAAATGGGAACCAATACATGTACAATTCACATCACATTGTCAGCATTGAAACAAAACAATGGCTAACCCCACTGCAACAGTCTACTGCTGCTATTCTAGTATTATTTGACAAGGTGTTACCATAGTCTGCAGGCTCAATGTGTGAAACTACATTTACGGAGTTACATTGTAACTTGAAAACGTCCGATAGTGATTATTTGACTGATTTTGTGATTAGTCATTTGACAATGTATTTTCCAGAGATTGCTCCAGCAGACACCACAATGCCTGGCTGGCACAGAGAATCCGGAGCCTGCATTGTATTTTGTGAGTTGCCCATGTTTTCTGGCAGTACACTATTGACCAAAGAGAGCGGCTAACTACATGTATATCTGGGGGCTGTGTGACAGTGTCATCATTGACATCAATGAGTGGCACAGGGCCGGCGGTTGGCCTAATCAATTACAGGGAACTGCTAACTTGAATTCAAGGGCCATTCCTGATACTGCTACCCTGAATTCAAGGGCCAGTCCTGATACTGCTACCCTGAATTCAAGGGCCAATCCTAATACTGCTACCCTGAATTCAAGGGCCAGTCCTGATACTGCTACCCTGAATTCAAGGGCCAGTCCTGATACTGCTACCCTGAATTCCAGGGCCAGTCCTAATGCAATTACTGCACATCACTTACAGTCCATGCCATGGAAGTGGTCGCACACATACATGTACATGTAACTACAGTTGTGGCCAAGAAATGTAAATGAAAATGTAAACGTAAATGTAAATGTAAATGTAAATGTAAATGTTGAGTCAAGAGTAGCGCAGTATATGCATTTCCATACTGTCATACACAGTACAGAACCCCATCCCAGGGCTGCTTTGGGCACGTGGGTTGGGATCGTTTTTGTCATGACTGTGCTAGTGCTTGCGCATGCATTCCTCACACAACATGGCCTGTGGCAGCAGAAAGAATTGCAACTCCAATCTTCTGGTGACTTCCCTCTGTAGGGGAAATCCCAAGGGGCCACTTCACTCCATAAGTAGACAGGATAGAGCCATTCTAGCAACAAATCCACAACCATGCACAATCCGCACATCCAACCAGTACTGCTCCTTCCTGGTGTGTGAGGTTGCCTGGTGGCCACAGAACTTGTTATGATGCAAATTACTCCTGGCATGTTTGTCAAACTGATGAATGGCCCATGGTACTTGCAGACTTCACCAGGGGAATGGCACCTCTAAAAACTCACTTTTTCCCCCAGTGCAACAGAACAAACTTTTCAAAGCTACTTAGTGGAGAAGGCCATGCTAAGTACTATGCCACAACAGGAGCTGCTTAAGCTGAGTCAGTCAAGTGTCCATTATGATTAATTTTGTATTGGACTATCTGCGTGACCATGTCGCAGCAACCAGGATAGGGAAAATACCACACTAATTGCCCCTTTCAAACACCACTTGTCACCTTACATACAACTTACATACATACGGCCTTCATACATGTCCACCTTACATGCACGACTGTACAGGTTTGGCCTCATTTTTCAGTTCTGTCCGCAGGTTGAGCGCAGCCTACATACATGTACATACAGCCTTCACACATGTACTGTAAAGCTCCCCAGATCCGGGCAGGTTGGGGTGGAGCACTGCCCATATTACTAGGAATTGCCCATAACACAGAACGTACATGTACATACTTACTACGTGAAAGAAAAGATTTTATGCCAATCAATATGACTGTTTTGGGGCCATCTTTCGTTGAAAAGCCATTTTGGATTACTCTCGATGGGTCAGCAAGGCGCGCAGTGGAGGGATGCGTCTGGATTAGGGACGTCCGGATGACTGTAAATAAATTTAATTATAATTAAATTATAATTAAATTATAATAATAAACTAGATGAATAGAATGGTTGTGAGTGTGTAGTGGTATTTTTTTTCAAAGTATTTTTGCACTTGCACCCAGCTCTCTCCATCTGTGGCGTGAAGGACATTGCAGCACGAATATCTGGACGTTTTTACTTCATTTCCACAAGGCACGCAATGATCCAGTGTTTCCCCTGATCAATGGCATTATTTTTTTGAAGAAGGCATTGTGAGGGATGTAGCCTTGATGCACTCCATGACTTTGTATATACATGTACTGCCAAGGAGTGTGTTGAGGCATGACTTGTATTCTTTGTAATTTTTGAGTGTCATTTCTCCTGCTTGTGTGCGACTGGCATTGAGAGCACTCTTCTTCTGATTTTGTCCAGTGAGAATACAATGTAGCTAGGCAGTGCAGCGCTTGCGTCCACTCCCCGCAGACAGCGGAACTCAAACTAGAACTATGTTGTTTTCGACTGCCCTGCAGCTCCGTGTCTGACAGCTGTTTCTCCAGGATGGACGTTTTCATTTCCACCCAAAGTGCACCACATCTGCCAACCCCATTCAAGTGATAGACATCCTGTTCTCTCTGGCTGTTTCCCAGGTCTTGAGATGAGACTGTTTAGTGTTAGTGTTACACTTCTCACCCGCCAGCCTCGTTCAAGCGGTCACAAACTGAATGAGGTGAACGACTGTAACACTTCACGCAATTCACGCTCCAAGTAAACAATGCATACATGTAACAAACTCTACTTGAACCCTCATAATGATTCTCCACTCAACCATAACCATTTTCACAGCATAGAACCTGTACACATCACACGACACAGCCAGCAATGTACGACTCAACTTCTCAAGCAGCAAATTATTTAGTTGAACAAACATACCTTCTCCCAGAATGCCTCGTCAAACGGTCCTTCAAAGCCACCCTCTGCCACGCTGCCAGCTCGTCCCTTCTTCCTCGGAGCGAGAATGGAAAGTCCTGAGGGCTCTCGCTTTGTCTTGCTCGATGCGCTCTTGCTGTCTGCCCCGCCGCTCCGTGCAAGGCGAGAGAGAATGGATGACGATGCACTGTTGGCAATGCCCTGGTGTTGTTCATGGCCGCTGTGACTCAGTTCAGAAAGTCCCGTCATGCGCGAAAACTGACTCTCCCGTCTTGCCAGTTCGATCGCTGCGGCATCCTGGGCTTGCCCGCTGCCAAAAGACGAGTTCAGTGACTGCATTTCAATGCCGTCCACAGGTAGAGCTCGCGTGTCGGAGAGGTCGACTCCAGGAGGTGTGAAGACCATGCTACGTTCGGGCCGTGAAGGCACAGTGCGATTGCCTTCTCGGATCGTAACACGTACATCTCCATTGTCATCGGGTGCAGTAGCTGTACTACCTCCACCACTGTTTTCATCGCTTTCCTCGGGCTCCGCGCGTGGCGTGGAGATTTCTGAGTCTTCCTCGCTGCTGGCGCTGCGTGAGTTGAAGGTTCCTTCCTCCAGTAATATTTGATCCGACATTGCGCCGCGTTCTACGAGCACCCGCCAAGACCTTGAAACCGCCTTCTCCTAACTTCTATCTGCAAGAATTTCAGACAACCAACCTTTTCCTCTCTGAACAATCAAACCTAAAACCTGTTCAGGGTAATGGTTTTCGTGAAGTAGTCAAAGTGAAACCCGCTGTTTAGCGATCCAGTACTGGGAGGCTTTCAACCGGCCGGAAAGACGCCTCAAGCATGAGGAAGGAAGCTGACTGTGATCGATTCTTTCCACGCGGATTGACAGCGTTGCTCCGAGGTGTCCCTTTTTATAACTAACATGGCGATCAGGGTTGTTGCATACTCGATCTCGACTACAGTAAAATCATGCTTTTCAGATAAAAGTGGTACTGCTTTGGAGTTTTGTTCACCTCTCCGGCCTGACTAGAGTGCAAGTGAAGTAACAGTCAGTTTCCGCTTCGCGCGCAGCTTTCGCTGCACGTGCAGTGCAGTGTCGTCGTCGGCAGTCGGCGGTCGGTCGCCCGAGTCAAGCCACTCAACGTCTCAAGGACCACTCTGCACTCAGATCAGACTTCAGTATCCTGCAGTGCAGTGCATACTGGTTTGACTTTTTCTGAGTTTGGCCCTTTGGGACAGAAAATATACTAGTAGTGTATCTCTGGCTCACGTGATCGTACCGACGAAGCGAGTCTACTATTTTACTATTTAGTACTATTATTATAATAACCCAATACAGTTACTGAGTACTAGTTCAAAACTAGATAAACCTTGTTATAGTTCACACAAATTGTTAGATTGACAGCATGCAACAAGGTGGAGGACACTGTGTTCGGAAACAGTGACCTTACTACAACCTTCCGCGGTTAGGGTTCGGCGGATTCTGCCGGCAGAAAAATTGACAGAATTCGGTACTTTTTCAGGTAAGTTTCATGGTATGTGGATGAAAAATGGAGCAGAATTCGAGGAATTGCCCGCCATAAGGTTTGGTATGTGGATACAAAATGGAGCAGAATTCGAGGAATTGCCCGCCATAAGGTTTGTATGGTTCTGGCAATTTCACTGCTTTTCGAGCAGAATCTGCCACCTTTTCGAGCAGAATCCGCCGGTCCCTATGGAACCGCGGTTGACTCCACCTTGGTTCATGCTGTGAATACTAGTAGTAATAGTATCAGGGAGTCGATCATGACTCCCTGGGCAAGATGTACATATACATTGTACGTGTACGGCATGGCAGAACCGAAGAAGTACAATCATGTACACTGTACACTGTACAAGTACTGGACGTACATGTAGATTCCACACGCGCAAAAGAGAACCTCTCACATCCTTTCTCTGTCTGCAGGAACATTGTTCAATGATTACAATGTACATGACAATCATGTCCATTTAAAAATTCAAAATACTGGATCTATTCAGGCAGGCTCAGTACAGTAGATCTACACTGCCTTCTTTATCTACCATAGCCTACGCCGTGCATCATGGGTCTAGCCCCAGGTATGGCATGCTGGGGTTGAAAATACATGATTGTACATGTAGTTGAGGACGGATTTCCACAGCACATGCGGTTCTATTTCATTCCCTCCCGACGAACATTCAACAAAATTTAATATTGACATACATGTACCAGAGTCCAGTGGTACCTACATGTTGTACATGTACATACATGTAGTTCACGCAGACTACACTAGTAGTAGTACTACTAGTACTACTAGTACTAGTACAATGCATGGTCAATGCCATTGATAAGGGCAATGACCATGCATGTGCGACCCTGCCACTGGCACAGCTACAGGACAGTCTTCTTGAGAGAGTTGAGAGTTGAAAAAACCGTGTTACTTTGGGGCGGCCGGTAGATTCATCAGCTCGATTATTTGATTTATTGTGTGCGCTCTCCACGCGCGCGCGGTGTCTAACCTTTCATTCACGAAACTGCCTGATAATAGTGCATTGTCCATGGTCCATGAGTAGCTGGGTTGGTTCTAGTTGCTCGTGCTTCAGACAGTGCGGATTTTCATTCTTCAATGTGATCTGCATGCTAGTAGTAGTGGTAGTTCATGTGCTGTCCGATAACAAGTAGAGTCTACGTGACGTACAGAGACTGGCAATGGCTGTGGCCGTGTGTTGGACAGTGCAGTGTAGTAGTACAGTGCTGGCAACTGAAATCCGATCCCCTGAGCGGTGCGCTCACATCACAAAGACCCAGCACGGGATGGTAAAACTACGAAACAGAGACCGCTACTGGCGCTAGAATGTGAACCCACCGCTCAGGGGGTCGGATTTGCCACCACTGTAGTACTTTTTTTAGTACATGTACTCAAACAATAGTCAATACGTCATGGAAAAAAGAAGAACACCACAGATACAACTTACTTACAAATACAAGGGATGAAACTCGGCAATGAAATCAAAATACATGACTTGTACTGACTACTGGTAGCTGCGGTACTAGGACATTGAATTTTTTTAAATGTACTTTATTAATTTTACATGTAGGTCCATCGGGTTCACGTGGACTTCTGCCCACGTAAAAAAAGAACTGCGCGTACACGCACAACGAGGGATCGCCTTACCCCAAACGCAATAACACATTGTGTCTATGAAACCGGACAGTGGTCTTTAGGCCGAATTCCTGACACTCAATCCTTGTCAATCTCCCACCTACATCGCTGAGCAACCCCACATGACAGTCGCACCATGTGTCACATTCAACAAACGGGAACCCTGAATGGTGAATGGGCTGATTTGACAAGTACATGTACAAGTACACGTGACGTCATCCCTTGCACCACATGTACATGATTGCACCCCGTCGACATTGAGTGGAGGGAAGATTTGGAGACCGTGCTCCTGATTGTTCACGAGTGAATAAATGAGTGTGGGCCATGGGTGCCAGCGCCCTACAGCTACAAGCAAACCAAAGTTACTGTCTGTAGTTCAAAGTTTGCCTTGGCAAACAACAGTTACATGAATGAATGGACTGATACTGGATAGCCCTAGGTGTTTGCCGCAGATGCGTCTCTCGTATCTAGTACTAGTGGATCCACCAGTGCAGTGGATGTGCTCTACGTGTAGTTATGCAGTGGATGGGAATGTGTCTTCACTACAAACACCTGCCGAGTTTCTGCCTTGATCCCTACCCTGGGGCCTGGGTCCCTTCTTCTTCGCCTGTACTTGCTGTAGTGTTATCAATGAGATCGATTGCTAACTTGTGAGCTGATACATGTACATGGCGTTGAATGAACAGCTCCGACCACATTCAGCTAACAACCCACCTGTACCTGTACATGTATGTAACGAGTAACGTCCTTGTCAGAAGGTCATCTCATATTCAATCATTAACGTAACGTTTAGATCGACTTGATTCACTTCGTGGACAGTACGTCAAGGTCATGTTGTTGTTTGTTGTTGTTTCTTTATTTTACTTCACCATATGAACAGGCAAGACTGCCTTCTCACCGGGGCTATTGGCCCACTGCTCTCACAATATGATGAAAATGTTTAAAATGTGTATGAAGAAGAAAGGAACGGAAAAGAAGATGAAAAGAAAGGAAAGAAAACAGTAGGTATTAATTTTATGAAGGGGGGGGGGGTATGAAATGGGTATTATCATAGTTGATGAGAGAAGTATGATATCCAATATTCTTGTTCTATAGACTTTTTAGTACGGGCATTTCATGAGAGTCATGCATGGGCAAGGCAGGATTTGGACTAGGATAGAGGACAAGAACATAATATTATTGATGAGCATCTGTTCAGGCAGAATCTGTGAAGAAGACATAGTAGGCACAACATCGGAGAGCTTGTTGAGGAGGGAGTTAAGGTCATAGCCAGACAGCAATGCTTGAAACGTGTGGCGTACGTCGCAAGCGCGAATATCAGCAGGGAGAGAGTTCCATGTGGTACTGCCAACAAAGGCGATAGAGCTACAGCCTGAGGGACCAGGTAGGAACGGCACTCTGAGCAGCTGGTTGACCTGACCACGCGTGACACAACTTCTGTCCACATCCGTGGCAATGAGGGAGTAGTAGGATTGGAACAGTGAGCTGGCTCTGCCATGAAGCCAGCGGAAGACGAAGAGAAGCAGACGTTGCACGTACAGCTGGTGGAGCTGAGGCATTGATAGTCTGGCAAATAGGGGAGCAGTGGGGGTCCTTCTGGGGAGTTGGAAGATGGCTCGTATGCCAGACTTAGCAATGCGTAGCAGTCGATGTAGCAGCAGTTTGGATAGAGCGGGAAAGAAACAGTTTGAGATGTGCATGTACATGTACAGGTACATGACTGTACATGCTATGTTAGATTGACAGCATGAAACAAGGTGGAGGACACTGTGTTCGGAAACGGTGACCTTACTACCACCTTCCGCGTTTGGCAGAGCCCCGGTCCCTGCGGACCATTTGAACCATATGGGTATCGCACCCGGTTCTGACCCTCATTATGGTAGGGGGTTAGGAGACTACTCCTGACGTCGTCTTGTTTTCTTCGCTCTTGTCTTTAACTTGTATCTGCCCATGGCGTCCTTCTCTCAGCTCGTCAACTGTCAACAGTTTTTTGTCATCACCATGACACTGTGGCGAGAAGGTGCTCTCTGTAGACGGGGTTGGTGTGACCAGTACTAGTTTGCGTGGCAACATCAACAGCAGGCAGGTTAACGAGGGGAGGTAACCAACGTGTAGCCGGGGTGTTCTGACGTGGTGAAGGCCTACCCATGGCCGCGTCGGGACATCATGGGCAGCGCCCAACCACGATCATTGTTCACATTTGGATGGCGCCTGGATATGTGGATTGCCTCCCATATCCTGCGGTTCACTGTTCGCTCTGCGAAATATTTAGGTCTCCACTTTGATGCGGACATGAGCTGGAACACCATGGTCGACCACGTCGCATGGGGCGTCGCGTCAAAAGTTGGCGTGCTCAGACGATACGCTACATTCCTGTCTTTCAATGTCGCATAGCCTATTTTCGTTCTTTCATTTTATCACACTTTAACCCTACGCCTGGGACGAGGGAAACATGGATGCAGTGAATGGGATTTCGGTCTTTGACCACTTTGTGGTTGGTCTGATCTACTCACCTCCTACCGCTTAGGAGCTGCATCTACGCCTTGATCCAAGAGGGTGGTGGCGTTCCTACGGATGCGGAAAACTGGGCCTTTGGCCGAGTCTCACGCGAACCGTGAATTTTTTTTTTTTAATATATGCCGCTTCTTTTACACGCATGAACTTCCAAACATTGACCACATACATGTACATGCACATGTACGCCAACATGCACCTTCTGGTTTTTATCTGGCGTTGTCTCCATGACTCCTCTAACATCAGAATGTTGTTCGCTAACTTTTTCAGACGCAGTAATTCCACTCAAACTCGTGGTGGGCACAGCAATTTAGTGATTGTCCCAG